AAGTGGAAGTCATTAGATATAATTGTTTAATATCTTGTATATTACTTAGTATTATATTTTTATTTTTATGTAAGATTAGACCATTACAAATTATATCACTAAGAGGAGTTGATGACACAAGTAGAGAGAGAATGAGAGGTAGAGAGAGAGAGAGAGGGTGGGGAAGGAGATCACAGGGTAGATGGTTCGCACAGTCATATGAGAAATTGAGATTCCAGGATAGGGGACGCCGTCAACAGAATCCGGGTGTCTACGACAAGAGAATATACAACCAGGCAACGCCTTTTTTCTTCACAAATTACCCAGAGGATTGGTCGTTTGAGCAGATGTGGCACACCTTCAATAGTCTAGGCCTCGGACGGGTATTAGAGATTGATTGCCCGGTGAAGAGAGACAGATTGGGCAGACGGTTCGGGTTTGTTCGATTCCTGGACGTGAAGAATGAGGGTGATCTGGGAAGAAGACTGAATGAAATCAGGATAGGGAATCATCTATTGCAAGCAAACAAGCCGAGGTTCATGAAGGGGGATCGAACAAATTTGGAGACTGCTAGCAACCGCCACTTGAGTCGGAAATGGAGCCAGCATAGCACTAAGGGTGATGGTAGCGGACCTTCATATGCTGAGGTAGTACAAGGTACTATCAGAAAGGGGGGAGAAAGATTCATGAATAGAAGTTGGGAATGGAGATCAGGGCAGAGGAATGGAAGCAATCAGCCCAGTATCTATGAAGGTCAGAAGAGGGAATGGCATCCAAAACAACAGCACCAGCACTGGTCGGGTATAGAGATGAATATCGATCAGGAAGATTATGCATGGCTGCAAAAGTGCTTTGTTGGTAAAGTGCACTCAGTTAACTTGATCCCGAATCTGCAAGAAAAATTCTTTTTAGAAGGAGTTTTTTACTGCAAGATCACACCTATGGGAGGCAGATTAGTTTTATTAGAAGGCAAAGATTATGAGGATTTGAAGGAGCTGGTGGATAGGGGCAGAGATTGGATGGGACAGTGGTTTGAAGAGGTGAAACCATGGTCCCCTTCCGCGGTTGCTACAGAGAGATTCGCTTGGATTCGATGCCAGGGGCTACCAGCGCATGCATGGAAATTAGAGACTTTTCAAACCTTTGGAAGGCTATGGGGAAACTTGATATCTCTCGATGACAGCACAAGCAGCAAGCGGAGATTTGATGCTGCAAGATTCCTAATCACCACATCATCCTCGGAGTCAATTTCCAAGTCTATCACTGTAAAGATTAACGGAGAATTTTTCACACTGAAATTCACAGAAGAAGAGTCGACTAATTCTCTGTTCTTAATGAGATCGGACAGGGTATTCAACGCTCCAAAAGAAGAAGAAGATGAAGAAAACAGCTCCTTAGATAGTCAGTTTGAGTTAGATTCTGTGAAAACTATGGAACTGTTAGAGCATGCTGACTGTCAGGCATTCGACGATGAGGACGGTGGAGATATGAAGATCTCCGAGGATGAACTGGTAAACCAGAAAGCTATCGACGGAGACAGGGCGTTCTCGGAGGATGATCTGGCAACACAGTTCGAAGAGGGGGGAAACAGGATCGAGGTGACAGTTCATGATGATGAGGTGGCTAGCAACAGTGAGAAGTTGGAAGACTTCAGACGAAAGGTGGGTGTGATAGCTTCTACTGATACCGAGGTGGTTGAGGAAACAACGGGCATGGGTGAATTCAGAAAGGGATTTCAAAATTCAAATTCAAACTCAAAAAATCCAAGAAAGGGGGATACAAGAAAGATTTCGGAGGATCCAGAAAAGACGGCTAATAAAGCTGACCATGGAAACTGGGATAATGACAGCCAATTCAGCTCCAATGCTGAGAAGGGTAACCTCGGCAACTCCAATCAAAAAAGAAGAAACACAACAGAAGAAGAAAGCAGAAGTAACGGCCCAGAGGAAGAAATTGATAGAGTCCTATATGATGGGCCTTCAACTAAAGCTATGGGCCTTCAAGAGGGGATGGGGCTGAAGGTGGTTGAACCACTTAAATCCTCAAACATAGGCCCAGCAGTGCAGGCGGTGAAAGCAATTACCAGCCCAAAAATAAATAATTGCCAGATCACCTCTTCCTTTTGGGATGACCTTGATAGTGAGCCCGACATTCCAGCACATTGGATGAACATCAAGGAGGGGAATGGCAGAAGAAAAAAGAAGAGAAGAGCGAAGTCCTGCGCCTCGGTCTACAGGAAAACAGGGGGTTTGGAAGGCATTCTAGTTCAGCAAAATTCGAAAGGACAGAGACATGCATCAGTGAAGACTAAGAAGGAGGTTCGGTTCGAAAAAAACTCAGAGAAGCCGGTTGCAGATGACTCGATCAACGACAGCAACATCCAAAATCGGAATAGAAGCATGGATCTGAGAAGTAGAAAACGGAATATGGAAGCTTTATGGTCCCGGGTCAAAGAGATGGGGGTATCGGCTCAAGGAGAAGAATCAGTGGTGATACAGAAATTGAATGAAATGGAAAACAGAGACAAAGAAAAATGGAGGAAGGAGAGAGAAAAGAATCTCGGTAAAGGAGATCAGGTGAGTCCTCACCTTCCATGATTTTATTATCCATTAATATCAGAGGATTGGGGGGGGTGGGGAAAAAAAGGGTGATTCGGGAGTTGATTCTTAAACAAAAGGTTGATGTTCTGTTTATTCAAGAATCTAAATTGGAGTCTGTTGATGATAGAATTTGTAGTATGTTATGGGGCTCAGAGAAATTTGAGTGGGTATCACAACCCGCGTCTGGAGCTTCTGGAGGAATTGTAACTATTTGGAATCCTTGCGTCTTCAAGAAGACTAATTGCTTTCAAGGGGCAGGTTTTTTGGGTGTAGAGGGGACTTGGGGAGAAGAAAATATTCCCTGTTTTCTGGTTAATGTCTACTCTCCTTGCGATTTGGCTAGTAAGAGATCATTATGGGAGAATTTGTCCAGTATAATATCCTCTCATAAAGGTAACTGGTGCATTGCGGGGGATTTCAATGCCATCCGAAGCCTTCAGGAAAGGAAAGGAGGTACTAGTGTCAGGAGGGAGATCAGGGAGTTTAGTGATTTCATCGAGATGAATGGGTTGATTGATCTTCCTTTGATAGGGAGAAAATTTACCTGGTACCAACCGAATGGACATTGCATGAGCCGGCTGGATAGGTTTCTATTCTCTGAGGATTGGATGCTGAATTGGACAGACATGAAGCAATGGGGGTTACCTAGGTCTTTGTCAGATCACTGTCCAATTCTGGTGAGGGAAGAAACACGCAACTGGGGTCCCAAACCATTCAAACTTTATAATGTGTGGCTTCAAGATCCTGCGTTTAGGAAAATGGTGGAAATTCAGTGGAATAACTCAAATATTCAAGGATGGGGAGGTTTTGTGTTGAAAGAGAAGCTAAAAAGATTGAAAGCTAGTGTGAAGGAATGGGCACGGTCTCAAGTGCAAATGGTGGATAACCAAATTGAGAAGGCAAAAGCCAATTTAGCTGAACTTGATATTAAAGGGGAAACACATCAGCTTAATGAGTCGGAATGCCTCCTCAAGAGAGACCTTATGGTAACTCTATGGGAAAACATTCAAATCAAAGAGGAAATGGCAAAACAAAAATCAAGGATGATATGGATGAAAGAAGGGGATGCAAACACAAGCTTCTTCCACCGATGTATTAAAGGCAGATGGAGAAGGAATGAGATTAACTCCTTATCAGTCAGCGGGAAGGTGATGCATGAAGTCAACGAGTTGAAAGAAGGAGTAGCCAATTACTTCAAAAATCTTTTTGCAGATGATGGCTGGAAGAGGCCAGTTTTAGATGGAGTGGGTTTTAAGCATATTTCAGAAGCTGAGAAGGATCTCTTAACAGAACCATTCCTTGAATCAGAGGTCAAAGCGGCAGTTTGGAATTGTGATAGCGCAAAGGCTCCAGGCCCGGATGGCTTCAGTTTTGGGTTCTTAAAAGCAGAATGGGAAGTGATCAAGGAGGACATTCTAAAGTTTTTGGCAGATTTCCATAGTAACAGCAGGATGGTGAGGGGCTCCAATCCGTCATTCCTGGTTCTGATTCCAAAAAAGGAGAACCCCCAAGGAATCAAGGAGTACAGACCTATCTCCCTAATAGGCTGTATGTACAAAATTCTTGCTAAAATCTTAGCCAACAGATTGAGTAAGGTCATGGACGGACTCATAGGTGACCAACAATCAGCATTCATTGGTGGGAGACAACTAGTTGATGGAGTAGTCATTGCTAATGAAACAATTGACGAGATCAGAAGGAAAAGAATGAGATGCTTCTTGTTTAAGGCTGATTTTGAGAAGGCATATGACAATATCAGCTGGGAGTTTTTGGATTACATGCTGGAAAGAATGAATTTCGGGCCAATTTGGAGGGGATGGATCCAAGAATGCTTTCGATCAAACTCGGTATCAATTTTGCTCAACGGTAGTCCAACAAAGGAGTTCGTTATGCAAAGAGGACTAAGACAAGGTGATCCCTTAGCTCCGTTTCTGTTTCTTATTGTTGCGGAAGGGCTCAATGGCATTATCTCGTCGGCTGTCACGAAAGGATTATTCGAAGGGGTACCAATCGGAGGAGGGAGTATTAATATATCCCACTTACAGTTTGCAGATGACACCTTGCTACTAGGAATGGCAACAGAAGATAACGTCTGGACCACAAAATGCATAATGAGAGCCTTTGAACTTGTCTCCGGTTTGAAAATAAATTACGGGAAAAGCTCCTTGATTGGAATCAATGTGGATAATGTATGGGAAAAGGAAATGGCTTGCCTATTGAATTGCAAAATAGGGTCATTGCCGTGTAAGTATCTGGGTATCCCTTTGGGAGCAGATCCGAGAAGGATTGTTACATGGAAGCCACTTATTGAATCTTTTAAAAGAAAACTCTCATCATGGAAGGGGCGATACCTATCTTTTGGAGGACGAATCACCCTCATAAACTCAGTGCTATCCAGTTTACCAGTGTTCCTAATGTCCTTTTTCCTCCTACCAAAGAGTGTCATAAAGGAGGTTGACAAAATTAGGAGACAATTCCTATGGGGGGGAGATGGGGAGAGGAAAAAAGTAGCATGGGTAGCATGGGCGAACACCTGCCTTAACAAGCTGGAAGGGGGTTTGGGCATTAAAAATCTGTCATGCTTCAATAAATCATTATTAGGAAAATGGTGGGGAAGATTGCTTATGGAGAAAGGGGGGCTGTGGAAGAGAGTCTTAGCTGAAAAATATGGGATCAAGGAAGGATATTGGCTCACTTGTTTAAAGGAGGGCAGTCCGCAAGGCTCAAAATGGTGGAGGGACGTTTGCAAAATAGATCAGAGGGAGGACACAATGAATAACTGGGTGAGTTTGGGTTTTGAAGCAAAATTGGGGGACGGGGGAACCTTGAAATTCTGGTCGGATGTATGGGTAGGAGGGAGTGCACTCTCTATCAAATTCCCTCGTTTATTTTTGTTAACCACAGACCAAAATGCAACTGTTAAAGATATGGGTTCCTGGAGGAACAGCAGCTGGTATTGGGAATTACCATGGAAGCGTCAACTTCGCTCATGGGAGGAGGATCTAGAAAAAGAGCTTCTCGAGATAATTAATACTGCTCACCCCTCACAGAACAAAGAAGACCAGTGGAGATGGCTTCTAGAAACCTCAGGAAATTACACAACTAAGTCTGCGTATTCTCATCTCTCAAAGGGCGTTTCAAGGCACGCAGGGGATTTCAAAAGGGTATGGAAAGCACCCATTCCACCTAAAGTAAGTGCATTCTGTTGGCAATTACTTCATAGGAAATTACCCACAAAAGATAATCTAGCATCTCGCGGAATTTTAACTGATATAACAAGTTTAAATTGTTGCTGGTGTGATACATGTCCCGAGTCCCCTGACCACATTTTTTTACATTGTAACCTGGCTTACTCCTTGTGGATGGAATGTTACAAGTGGTGGGGAGTACAATATGTTATGAGTAATTCGTGCAGAATGGTTTTAGACCAACATAAATGGACTGGGGACAACAAATTAATAGATAGAGGGTGGAATATCATTTGGTTTGCAGTGATATGGACTCTATGGCTGGGAAGGAACGACTGGATTTTCAACAAAAAGGAGGTAAAGGCTGACTATCTATTTGAGCTAGTTCAAATTCGATCTTTCTACTGGGTTAAGAATATAGCAGGACTGGACGGATTCTCCTTGCAAGCTTGGTGCGAGAACCCATCCAATTGTTTAAAGACCACCAACAAACGGAAAGACAGGGTCTGAACTAGTTTTTTTTTTTGGTTCTTGGAATGTATCTGCATTGATATAGTAGGCGGCAGGATAATTTTTGCAACCTGCT